CTCTCGAAGCGTTTTTCGAAAAGTTTCCAAATCTGAAGAAAAACCCATTTTATATAACGGGTGAAAGTTATGCCGGAATTTATATCCCAATGTTAGCCCATGAAATATTCAGCACTAAATCTACAATCAATTTAAAAGGTATTATTTAAAGAAGTTATTTGATGTTTATTTTAATATAATATTAAATTATATAAATAGGTGTTGCAATTGGTAATGGAGTTCTAGGAAATGCCCCATTAATTAGTATGTCTTACTATGACTTTAGTTTAGGCCATGGATTCATTACAACTGGATCCTATGAGCAACTCATTGAGAATTGCTGTGAATGTAAATCAGGCGATGTTTTACATGAATGCGATTTCAATAAACCAGCGAATAGGACGTAAGTGACATTCAAACATTTATACGTAAACTATAAGTTTTTTGACTCTACAAAGCTATAATCTAAAAATATTCTGTAACACTTAAAGTTAAATTTTTATTTTCATAGTAAATGTGAGGCAACAGAAGTGGAAATGTCTGGAACAGAGAATCCATACAATGTTTACGATGATTGTGGCGCTAATTCTGCATATTTGGGACTTTTCAACAAATATTACGCAAAGGCTTCCAACAAATTACCAGTCAATGAAAGACCAAATATCAATTGTCCGCACCAGGGGTTTACAGATTACCTAAACATACCAGAAGTACGTAAAGCACTGCACGTACGCCCTGAGGACACCCACCACTGGAATGATTGCGACGGATCCTATTCAGGAGGGTTTACAGACCAAAGACCTATTATTATGGATTTGATTAATAAGTATAATATCGGAAAACTTGTCATATTTAATGGAAACTTTGACACCGTATGCGATCACATCAATAATAATAGATTTGTTGATAGTCTTGCATTCAAGAAAGATGGTCACTATAGGTATGATTAAATTATATGATTATTATTTAAAATAGTAATTTAAATATAATTATAATAATTTGAAGTGCCTGGCACACATCCGATGGATTTATTGGTGGATTTACTCAGCACTACGAGAAAGGCTTGAGCTTCGTATTAGTTCGCGGGTCCGGACATATGGTCCCTCACGACCAACCAGTGGCTGCCCTACAGTTACTCAAAAATGTCGTCGGGATTGAGTAACCATGTTAATAAAAAATTTATAAACGTATTAAACTGATAATATGATTTATAAATAATCAATTAATTTACGGTACTATATCAAATATTTCAAAATACTGAATTTTATGTACAGTATTTTAGTTCTCAATAAAATGATTATCAGATAAAATATATGATAACAACATTGATATAATGATAGATTTTAAAGAATAAAATTATGCTTGCAAAAACAATATTATGTAAAAATTAAAATCTAAATTGTATGGTTTAAATTGAAAAATATAAAAATACAATTATAGTAAACATATAATATTAAACGTCACAACCTTTAAACTTACTCAATTAGTAATGATATAAATATATATAAATATATAAATAAATATATAGAAATATATATAAATGATATACATAAGATATATCCCACTTGTACATCTATGATATAAAGAGATAATAATTTTTAATGAATACTTCAAGAACAAATAATTCTCATTAATTATTTAATAATAGATTAAAACTAATTCAAAGAAATAATTAATCTAATTTACACACTAATGTCTCCTGTTCAGTTTAATACCGTTTTTATTACTCAAGAATTTAGATTTATTTTGCAATGCTACTTTTATTAATATTAGGTTTCCCAAAAAGTTTGCGAGGTACGATTTATTCAGCAATGGATAAAGGTATTGAAAATATTTTTGAACCTCAACTATGGGTTTCAAAAACACTACTCAAAAAAACTTTCAAAAAATAAGTATTCTCCCGAAAACACTACTGGATTAGAGCACCGGTAGCTTTGTACAGGAAGCTTTTATGTACATCAAGTTTTAATTGCTAAGGATATTATTTGTGATAAAAAATAAAATATTAATACTACTATATTATAGTAGTTTAATAAATTTTGTTTATATAATAAATAAAAAGAATAATTTGTTAAATTTTAATAATTATTTTAAAAATCAAAAATTATTTATTTTGGAAAACTTAAGTTCCAAAATTATATATCATACTTAAATATCGTTGAAAAAAATATATAATTTTTTTAGCAATGTTTAGTTTTTTGAAAAATACATTTAATAACTATTAGTACTTGTTAGAAATAAGTAGTTTTTTATCTATTTTATTATAAATATAACACTCAATGAGATTAGACGTGCCATAAGAGTACTCTTAACCTTAGAGTACTTCACTAATCTATAAACTAAACTCAACATTGAATATAAATATATTAGGTTTTGCTTTATTTAAGTGAATCTTATAATTTTATCTAAATATTTCTAATTTTCTCTTTAAGTATTAAAATATGAATTCAATAAATAATTACATTATTTTCGCAGTATTTATATTAAACGTATGCCTAGTATTAGCCGCCAATGAGGATGAAATTGTGAGTCTTCCGGGTCTCTCAGAACCCATTAATTTTAAGCAATATTCCGGTTATTTGGATATAACTGAAGGCAAACATCACTTCTATTGGTTCGTTGAGAGTCAAAAAGATCCCGAGAACGCACCGGTAGTCCTATGGCTGAATGGAGGGCCCGGTTGTAGTTCACTGTTTGGAAACCTGGGAGAGAACGGACCCTTTCGAGTGAATTCCGACGGGAAGACCCTGGTGTTGAACC